GGACATGGACCATGCACAGCTCTTGGCCTGGAGGTGTCCTGACCAGTGTTAACGCCCAAGGGAACCTTCGTCTTATCTAGAGAGACGCTTTCTCTCCAGAGTACAGGCAGGAGTTCGCACTGGGCCATCACTGTCTTCCTGCCTCACCAGGCCAGCTCCCCTCCGTCTTCCTGGGGCTCTAGGAAGAGGCCTGACAGAGTGCTCTCCCTCTTTCTCTCCCTCCCTTCCTCCCCTCCCTCCCTCCCTCTCTCTCTCTCCCTCCCTCCCCCTCCCTCTCCCCCATTTCATTACACTCAGCACCTTACCAGGTTGTCTCTATAAACGTTATATATATGAATACGTGTGTGTAAGTGAATTGTCTTCTACAGTCTGTATTTCTACACAATGGAACCTGTACATATTCATCACATATATTTTTTTCTGCAACCAGAATTTATGGTTCCAGAATGACTTTTCAACCCTATTTAATAACATAAGCTCTTTCCCCCCTATCTTTACTGAGGTATAATTGGCAAATAAAAATTGTGCATGTGGGACACGTCCAAACTGGTGTTTTGATGCATGCAGACATGTAATGAGAGTAACAAAGCTGATTAACATGTCCGTCGCCTCCTGTGGCCACTCCCATTCTGTGAGTGAGAACAGTCAAGGCAGGCAGTATCAAAGTACACCTTACATTTTAATAACTGTGGGCACATTATTATACAGAATGTATCAGTCCAGGCAGAGGATATGTTAACGAACAGTAACACTTTCTTTTGGAAGGGTAGGCTTTCTTTTATGTTGTTTCATGGGAATGTACTGGAAGGATTAAGAATGTGAACTTCATACATGAAGAGACAGTTACTGGATTGGATTCAGGCCATGATAGAGCCCCTCAGTATGTATCAGAAGGAGATACATGCAGTGCTGTTCAAAGTCCGTGTCGTTCCGTTAAATACCATAGTACCGAAGTTCAACTAGAAAGCCAGCTGGGAATGCTCCCGGGTCTAATTTGAGCGCAGTGTCATTTATACAGGGCACCCCTACGCCTCTGCAGGCTCAGTCTTCAGGGCTTCCTGTTGGTCTCCCATTCTCCTCAGCCACTTTACACACAAGACCGGGGTTCTGAGCCCTTAAACCCCGCGGGGCTATGACAGGAGCAGAGACAGGGCACAGGCAGGCCGGGGCTTATTCTGCCATGCACTTCCCTAGCTGCGACAGCGATGGCGATGGCGAGGGCGAGACGGCCAGTGCCACAAGACCCGACCCTGCAGTGCTGCCCTCTGCTCCGCTTTCCCGAGTGTCCAGCGCTCGCACAAGCGCCTCTCACGGCGACCCGGGACGGCCCTGGCTGAGCTGCTTCGTGATGCTTGTCTTCCTGAGATCAGACCCTATTTATTGGGAGACTCCTTTCAGATGTCTGTATTCAAGCTTTCCCATTTCCACACACACTTTCAGACCACCGTGGGAAACTTCTGCACCTAAACACAAGCAGTCCTTGGAGTGGACTTCCTGGAAACTGCAGGGCCGGGTCAGCCTCAAGACAAATGCAGTTTTCTGTGTAGTAACTGGGGACTCGCCTTCGGTACGGAGTTATGACAAATAGCACTTGGCTATTTCAGACGAGTCATAAACCTGGTTTTTTAAAGAAATAATGTAAAATATTCTTAATTTTGATTAAAAACGCTATAGATTTTCCTCAGTAATGTTTGATTTTTTTGTGTTTTAGTGGGGGTTTGCAAATGTTTTGGGGAATATACTTAATGAATTAATTCCCTCATTTTAAAACATACACCCATTTATCAAAGCATATGCTCATTACCAGGCACTGGGGTTAGGCACCAGTGACTAGTTTTAAAAACCACTCCCCCAAAAGCTAATTAGTAGAATAAAAGATCGATTTAAGTTTCAACAAATAACAGTCTCTAGGAGTGTATAGGAAATGAATTGCTGTTGGGAAAATGTTTCAGTTATAGTCAATTTTTATGCAATTATTGTGACTACAAATACAATATTATTTCTCATTTTTGATTCAAGGTGCAAATTTAATCACTAGTTTAGAGGTGATAGAGCTTTTTTGCTTTTGGCTCTTTGAATTCGTAAATTCTGTGTGCTAATCAGTGAAGTTTACATTTACTTTAATTACTGAAATGCTGAATAAAAATTCCCATGACTTTGTTGTCCTCCTTTCTTGCCCTGCTGGCTGTGTCCTGTCCCCTCCCCTGTCCGCTCCAGCTCTGACGATACCTCTCTGTCCCAGTCAGGAGAGCTGGCGCCCAGCTGGTGAGCAGCACAGCAACCCATGCCATGCTCTGCTTTGCCCACCCGCAGTGAGGCCGCCAGTGGGGTCATTTGGGCTGTGACTTTGCATGCTGTGTGCGGAAGGACTGTGACTTACGGATGGAACCCACTGAGTTCTCTATGAAACTCTTGTTAGCAAAAAAAAAAGAAAAGGAGAAAAAAAAGAGGCAGCTTTTTTCACCTTGCCCAACCTTGTTTGAGCCTTTTTAATTTTTACATCTTTATTCTAATTGGTCCATGTTTGCGGTACATGCTAATTACATTCACTGTAGGGAGTCAGTGCATGGACACACCTCAATTCTTTTTTTCCCTTCCCTCTATCGCCCCTTTTATAAATGAGCGTGAGTCATTTATTTATCTTACAAGTCCTTATAAACTTAATTATCATATATATAGACTAGCAACCAGACTAACAGGCCCAAACATATGAAATACATGAGACAGTCATACTAAATCAAGGTGCCCTTTTAGATACATTGTCCATGCTGGGTTACAATAGGTTTCACTTCTGTCTCTCTCTTCCTATTATCTGTCTTTTATTTTATACTTTATTTATATATAGAGTTTGTCATCTAAGAAATTGCGATATTTAGGCTTACATGTCTGAGTTACTTTCTTAAGCATCTGTTTTCCTACAAAAGACTCAAATTTATTCTTTATGGAAGAGTAGTACTCCATTGTGTATAAATATGACATTTTATTTACCCATTCATCTGCTGATGGACATACAAGCTGTTTCCAAGCTTCAGCTATTATGAATTGTGCTGCTCTAAATATGAGTGTACTGCTGCATAGGTTATGATGGTTTGTGGTATTATGTCTTTCACTTTCGCAGGAAGAGACCTAAAGGGGGAATAGCTGGGTCAAATGGGACCTCTAGTCCTAGTTCTTTGAGGAATCTCCATACTGACTTCCACAGTGGTTGCACCAGTCTGCTCCCACCAACAATGGAGCAGGGTTCCTCTTTCCCCACAGCCCTGCCAGCATTTGTTATTGGTTGATTTCTTGATAGCAGCCATTCTTTGTGGGGTGAGGTGGAATCTCAGTGTTGTTTTCATCTGCATCTCTCGAATGGCCAGTCATGCGGAACATTTTCTCATGTTTATATTGGCTGTTTGTGCTTCTTCATCTGAAAAGTGTCCGTTTACTTCATATGTCCATGTTTTTAAATTGGGTCTTTAAATTTTAGGGGTCTAAGTGTTGAGTTCTTTATATATTCTAGATAGTAGTCCTTTGTCTGAGGAGCAGCTGGCAGTCTTTTCCCCAGTCTGAATGTTGTCTTTTCACTCCGCTGGTGATTTCCTTTGTTGTGCAGACATTTTTAAATTTAATGTGATATTATTCTTCATATTATTTCTTGTGCATCTGGGGTTTTCTTCAGGAGCTACTTTAAAAATGAAAATAATCTCTGTCTCATGACCTCTTCATGAGTACTGCCTTAACTAGAATATTTAATAACCAGCAGAGTCATTGAGTACATAGATAGAGTATAAAGTAACAGGAAGGTCTGCAAGTCACAGTAGAAGAGTACGTTCATGAGGGGTTATTCAGGGAATGTAAAAATAATAGCAACAAGAAGCAAGAGAATAGAGTAACACAAATGAGGACCTATGGTGGCAACAGCCCTGTTTGTGGCTCTTTGAATACTTGCACCAATGAACACTTAATCCAGATCACTTATGGCATAGAATGGGGCTTTTTGTAATCTAAAAAGCATTGAAAAGATAAAAGTGTGTCCGAAATCTTTCATTTTTAAGCCAATTTCAAATTGTAGTTCTCAGAGAAACCTGTGGTTTTCTTCACATGTAAACTAAGTGTAATTTAAATAATGGGGACGTTACATAATTTCTTTGTGTAATGCAATGATTTAAACCAAGTGGATATTCAGAATACAATTTTCTGGCTTTTTGTTTGTTTGTTTGGTTTGAGACAGTGCCTCGCTCGTGTTCAGGCTGTTCTTGAACTCACTGTGTAGCCCAAGCTGTCCTCAAAGTCATGATGGTCCTCCTGCCTCAGCCCCCAAGGGCTGAGACTACAGGTGTGTGCCACCACGCCTGACCCACTCAAAATACAATTTTGAAAGAATGAGGGAGCCTAGAAAATTTGGTTAGTGTACATGGTTGAATTTGGATAACCCAAGCTTAAAAGAAAAACTACACATCCAGAAAATAAATGTTCAACTGTTGTGTTACATATACCATGTGTACATTATATATGCTATGTTCTTTGCTTTTGAGGAAAAGGTACAGAAGTGAGGGCCTAACGTGAGCAGTGGGGAATTAAGACCTGTTAGATTCTGTTACTTGAATTACGTAACTTATTTATGTAATCTAAATGTTAACTTCTTAAATTCCTTCCGTTTGCTGGTAAATGCGCGCTTGCTCAGTGATTACAGGTAGCAGATGAAAAAATAGCTCCAAAGCTGCAGGGAGAAAGAAGCACGAGGTGTGCAGCGAGTGCCGGCAGGTGTGTCTGAAGGGTGGGCAGACGGTTCTTCCCACATCCCTGTGCTCTGTGGCAGCCGAGACAGTCCACAGCATGAAGCCTGGTTAAATACAAAATTGCAAAGCTGCTAGAAGAAAAGTAGCGTTCAGAGTTGAGGGGCAAAGGAGAACGCTTCATGCACTCAAGCGGTTCTCCCAGCTTCCGTGGCCGTACTGCCAAGCACTTAAGCCTTTGGTTCTCACTCATTTTGCACTGTGTATTTTCCTCTTCAGTTCAGTGGTGCATCGATTCGCCCGACGCTAAAGGGTTTCTTCGGTCTCCAGTTAGCTCTTCTTTCAGAAGAGAAGCAGATGAAGAATGGCCGCAGGGAGAAGGGACTTGGTCCTAGGCAGCGTTGGTGAATGGTGCCAGACGCCTCTCTTGCCTCCTCGTGTCTCTGCCCAGACGTTTACACGCCACGAAGCCGCTGTGATCGCCCGCCGTGGTTAAAGTGGGCCTGGCCTTCCGCCTCCCTCTCAGCTCCCATCCTGTTCTCTGCCTTGTAGCATTGGTCCCTTCACAACATGCTATGAAATTTGGTTCTATGTTTATTTCTTCTTTGTCTGTTTCATTCACTGAGATGTTAAAAGTGCCTAGAAAGGACCATGGAACGTAATAGGCGTTCAGATATTTGTGGTAAATTTTCTCCTGTAGAAATAGAAAGGCAAGAAAGACAAAAGACAGAAAATAAAAAAAGAGACTAACTCCATAGTTCTAAAGATTTCTAAAATAGTCATAAACATTTTGTAATTAAAATTTTTTATTAGTATGCGTTTGCAGTACATAGTGATTGTATTCACTGTGGAGAGGTGGTACACTTACATTTTTAAGTACTTCAGTGGAATTCAGTGTGAAAGTTTTAAGAAGAGTTCTGTTCTGTACTGTTTACTGTGTTTTTCAGTCTCCAGGGAGCAAGTTGAAGAGGATCATTTCAGGAAGAAGAGTTTAAGCAAGATAAGGCAGCGTGAGCGCATTCAACAAATGGAGAGCAGGAGGAAAGAGTGGGTTGCCACACTGTTGGGGACCCTTGGGGAGTGGCTCCTCCTGCAGCTCTGCAGATGGGGTACTGTGCAGCTGTCTCGCTTGTTCAGGCTTAGCACGGACTGATGTGCTTCTCATAAAAACTAAGTTTGCTACAGAAGTCTTTGTGATTTTTATTTGTTCAAGATGGAAGGAAGAAAAAAGCATGGTGAACACATGAATCAATTTACATTTTGTTAGCATTTATATTTTACTAATATATCTTAAGTCACAGGCGACAAAATTCCAATTTGTTGACTAGTGCTGTCTCACAGTAAAATTTAAATGGATAAATAACAAAAATTAGGATATCCATATCCTTTAAACCAGCAAATCCATTCTTAGAAATTCATTCTATTTTTACCGAATAATACAGTTAGCTGCAAAGATGTTCATCAGAACACCCTTCTTACTATGAAGAAAATAAACCTATTTCTCTCTGCCCAGACTCCAGAGGTCCATACAATGCAGTTCCATGCAGTCATGCTGTAGAAACACATTGAATGCCATGGAAAGATAGCTATCAAATACTAAATCAAGAGAGAAGTCTTACAGCAGTATGTTACATAAACCAGGACATTCAAGCATGTGCATCTTGAATATGATATTAGCAGTGGATATTTTGTGATGGGGAGTATTTTTAGTTTTTCCTTTAAGCACTTTATGTATTTTTACAATTAGAAATTAGAATGCATAGAATATGTAGTAGCATTTGGTATACAATTGGGAATGTCAATTACACAATGCTTTAACTGTTTAGAACATAATTTTGCATAGTTATTCATAATTGTGAAAATGAGTTATATTTTTCCTTACTATTATTATATTATTGCTTTTTAATTTCAGAAAGGAGAGGTTTTAGTGTTTGTTGATATGTGTGGTTTTCCCAAGTTGACTCAGCTAGTTTATTTTAGGTTCTGAAACTCACATCTCCATGGCTACCCAAATCAGGTATTTTTGTTGGTGGTGGTCCGTTTTGTTTCGCAGTGCTGGGGCTGGAAACGGGGCTTTGCACATGCTAAGGTGGCGCTGTACCACCCAGAGACACGCAGCCCACAGCTTTTTAAAATGTGCCCTGCTGTGCATGACGGCAGGAGAGGAACATAAACCGCTCAGCAGAGCCTAGCTGGCCCTGGGCGTCGCCGCAGGCTCAGGGTGACAGCACGCCGCTCCTTGGGTGCTTTCCTTGAGCAGCGCAGCGAGGACCCGTGGCCTGCCCCACACTCACCTCGCAGTGGCCAGGGTCTCTCCCCGTGCTCTGGCCGCACACAGTGGCTGGGATGAGCGGGTTGAGAGTCCGAGGTGGACATTGCAGCTGGACATGCTTTTGTGAATGTAACATTGGAAAAGCTACCTGGAAACTCGTCAGCTCCTGCATCCATCAGGCAGGGCTTTTAAACAATGGCTTCCCTTCCCTTTGAGACATCTGTTTAAGAAAAGTCATCCAAATCCTACCAAAATAAATGTATTTATAGAATCACGGTGACTGTTACAAGTGGTGACTGCTTTCCTCCTGCTGATACTGTGTACGTTTTGAGCTACTGTGCTTACCAAGTGAAGGATGTGTGAGGGCTCCATCCGTCCACCTGGCAGCCCCCACTGAGTGTAATGCAGTCTCTGCCCAGCCCCACTCCCCTCCATGCCTCACCTGCTCACTCCGAAGCGGCCTGGTCTCCCGCCCGGCCCTGGCCTTAGCACATGTGGGACCCCGCCTCCCTCGGGAAGATTCGGCCGTGTTCCCGTGGGTCCTGCACACCTCGGGCGTCCTCACTGCGGGGGCAGGTGGGTCTCTCCACCTGGGTCAGTCCCCTCCCCCTTCCCGGGACCCAAGCCGGTAACCTCTGTCCAGATGCAGCAGTCTTCCAGTGTCCCAGCAGCTCAATGCCTGCAGCCTCTGCCTGCTCCTTCTGCCCTGCCCTGGCCTCTGAGGTGCCAGCCCTGGGCTCCTGCCCTGGCCCACTCAGTTGCTTGCCTGCCAGCTACCACCACTCTGCCGATTTTCTCTTTATTTTCATTGTACACGTGATTCAGTAGTTTTCCACCTCATCGCCCCACCCCTCCTAGGGGCTGCGATGGACTTGTGTGCTAAGAGGTCGGAACTTGGTCTGTTTTACCGAAGATTGTGTCCCTAGCGCAATGCTTAGCACATAAAGCGACACAACAAATATTTGCCCAATGTTTGTTAAGCCAAAAGGTTGCTGCTTTTTAGCAGGTACGGCCTCGGTTATGTACTCCAGGCTGGCCTTGAACTCCTGGGCTTGAGTGATCTTCCTGCATCAGCCTCCCAAGTAGCTGGACTGCAGGTGTGCCATCACACCCAGCTGTGTAGAAGAGGTTGTTTCTCGACTGTCTGTAATGTTCGCTATTGTACTGGGCAGTGGAGTACGATGTCGGTGTCAGATGTATTCAGATATATTTAAACGTGTCGATTTAGGGAGAAGGATGTAGCATCGTTTTGGCTCATCACTGCCTTTGAGGTACATGATGTTGATCTAAACAGATTTGCGAAGAAATCCTGCTTCGGGGGTAAAAGCAATGTAAGTGCTGCCAGGGGTGTAGCTCAGCGGCACCGCACCTGCCTGGCAAGCACAAGGTGCTGAGTTCGACCCCCGGTACTGGAACAAAGAAGCCAAAGCGTTCTTTATGTAATCATTACACCTGTGGCAGCTACTCCTTTAGTTTGACTTTTCTCCCCCCCGCTGTCTCTTCTGTTTTCCAGGAAAGAGGCTCAGTTAGATGAAGAAGGACAGTTTCTCGTCAGAATAATATATGATGATTCCAAAACCTACGACCTGGTTGCCGCTGCCAGCAAAGTCCTCAGTAAGTCAGGCCGTGTCCCCGCCCCCCGCCTCCCCCGTGCCGCGGTCAGCCCAGAGCAGCGTCGTCCCGGGACTGCGGCGTGTGACCACACTAACCGCGCGCAGCGCAGACCCGGAGGGGAGATGGTCCCATCACATTAGGCGCAGGCCGGGCAGGTCCTTTCTTCCTCTACGAGGTCTTGGGGTTACGATAGGCATTGGCAGAAGCAAGAGGGAACAGAGGTCTCCCAGACGAATGTCACTGTTAGAAAAGGGAGCATCATGGAGAGAAGTTGTTCTCAAATAGTCTCTCTGTTATTCCCAAAGAACTTAATTTGCACGGGAGGTATAATTTGCATGGACAGAAGGAAGCTTTTAGCTTTGCTTGGCAGAAAGTAGGAAATAGTGAAAAAATTGATAAACAAGAAAAATAGCTTCATTAGTAATCAAAATGGAAGCAAACATGAAATAAATATCTAGTGTCATCATGAGTAAAGATGTATAGATTTTCACTCTGATGATGAAGTTAGATGACTTCTTTCCAAGAAGAGTTTGGCAACATCAGAATCTTTTTAAAATGTATTCAAACTCTTAAGGAATTTTTCTGAAAAAAAATACTAGATGCCTTCACACTAAGATTTATGTGTAAGTGTTTTTGTGTTAGAGTCACTTATCAATAAATACAAAAACCTACATTTTCAGTAAGACAATGATGAATAAATTGTTGCATCCATAGTCAAATAAGATAACAATTGAAGCTGGTAAAGAAAAAGTATGAGGAAAATTAAATTTTAGGAAGTGTGAATCTGGATACTAAGAACAAGACACTCAGGTACATATTTTATGCAGTCAGGTTCATAAATATATGAAGAAAAATTATTTTGCATCAAAATATTGTCATGTGCATTCTTGATGGTTTAAAAATCTCCATTTTTAGAATGTTAAATATGTGCTATAAAATGCCAAAATTGAGTAGTAGTTCTTTATATAAGCCGAGAGAATGGTTGCTTTGCTAGTAAGTAGAAATTTACACTGTTAACTTGTTAATGCATTGTTTTCTCAGACTTCTTTATAGTGTTCTGACCAGAATTCTTTTGTCTTATATCTCTGTCCATTCTGCACAAAGACTGTAGGCGTTTTAGATCATTTTAGTATGCACTTAAGCTCATTCTTTTCATTAACACTATTCCACCTACAATTGTGGTTTTTATTTCCTCTCAAACCTATGAAACAGACCTCAATGCTGGAGAAATCCTTCAAATGTTCGGGAAGATGTTTTTTGTGTTTTGTCAAGAATCCGGTTATGATACCATCTTACGCGTCCTGGGGTCTAATGTCAGAGAATTTCTCCAGGTGAGTAATTTCGGGTCCTGGAATACTTTGGTCCAGCCAGCGGAACTAGAGTATTTTGCTGCTAAAGTGAAATCATAATGACCTTTTTCTGATTAACTGAGAATCATATTTGTTAGATGATCTTGAATATAATTTTGCACTTTTGCTTTGTATTTTTTCTTCATTTCTAGCTGCTGACACTGGTTATGCTAATTGTAAATTAATATTCTCTTAGTGACTCCACCAGGTCTGTTTTGATCTGTTCAATGTTTCTTTTTAAGGATCATGCATGCTAGTGGTTGTTGTTTTTGTGTTTTAGTCATATAATAAGGTCTTATTTTCTACTTTAAAACATTGTGAATGTGTAGCATATACTTAAGCAGTGCATCAGTACTTATGAATTGGAGTTTGTCAACTAGGTCAAAGCACCAGTGGGCAGAGGTATTCACACAGACACACACACACACACACACACACACACACACACACACGCACGATACATTGCTATAGAGTTACATATTAATGAATCTGTTAGAGAAAGCCAAACAGGAAACCTTCCAAAGTCAATTTCAGGTGAAAGAGATAACATCACCAAAGGTCTTTGTCAGTGTCCAGTAAAAGTTGCCTGGATGGTTTTTGCTAGTAAATTACCCATTGGATGAGAGACCCATTTTGGGATGGACTGTACTATCTTCCACCCAGGCATTTGGGAGACCCTCTGGCTGAAATGCGCTCACTTTGAAAATTATGTAGCTGTCTTTAAAGAGAATTTCTCAACTGGCTGCCGAGAGCAGCCAGACCTTGCTGGAAAATGATGTCAGCGCATGACCGGCTGGACAGGCGCCCAGCTCTGGGGGAATGTAAACGACTTTCGGGCCAGCTGCATTATTGATTTAACAGCCAAAATAAGAACTTTAGTGTTTAATCAAAATGTCTGTTGTTTACACAGGGACATTTTTCTTATAAACTTAAAAGAGCACTAAATCAAGGTGGAAACTGATTTGCAGTGTCCTGCCTTACAGTTACTAAACTACTGGTGTCAGGAAGAGGCGCTGCACTTCCAATGAAGTAGCTGCTGGGAAATCTTATTTTTTTCCCCCCCATTAACTTTATTGGTACATTTTAGGTATACAGTACAGTTACCTTCATCATTGGGATCTTGTACCATTACATGAGTCTCTTGGGTCTTATTTTTTTTCCCCTTCCCTTGCCCTCCCTTCACCCCCTCCACCCTTCCCTATTTGCAAAGACCTTGTTTCCATTTTTTTCCTCTTCTCATATTTTTTCCTTTCCCTTTATTCCCTTCCCCTACCCCTCCCAATTCCCCTGCTCTTTTAGACCTTTTCTTCCTGTTACACAATATTAGTTA